TGGAAGTAATAGAAGCCTTGCTACAAGTGGGCGTGAACCCCAATGCTCACTATCGTTTGCCCAAAGAGAGTCCATGGAATATATACCTAAATGGGAGCGCTGTTCTCTATGCGTCTGCCTACGGGCACTCGTTGTGCGTGAGAAAATTGCTACAATATGGAGGAGACGCGAATAATGTGTCGTCTTCCGGCACACCTCTCATTAAAGCTGCGAAATATGGCAGAACGGATTGCATTATCGCTCTGATTGAAGGCGGTGCAGATGTTAATGCAAACGTAAATGGCACTGCCCTGCATAGGGCCGCTCGTTATAATCGTGTGGATTGCGTAAGGGGGCTTTTGCGGGCAGGGGCAGACAGAAATATAAAAAATAATGATGGACAAAGAGCATTGAATCTCGCAGTACGAAATGGATGTATAGAATGCGAACGTATTCTGGAACGATAGATCATGCAGGAGCGATAAGATGTGCGAAAGATGAGTGCTAGAAAATCTTCATTTCGCCAAAACGAGAACATCATTTTGCAAAGTGGTTTACGTTGAGCTATCAATCGCCTTTCTATTAATTTGTGTTGATTATGGGCATATCTTACGACAAGACATCGGATGTTAAGGCACCAAAAATATTTTAAAAAAATACGCAGAGTAAAAGACAATAAAACTCAAAATTCGAGGAAAAAACATTTAATATATTTTATTACGTATCTATCTAAATTTAACATAACATTCAAAACTGTATTAAAATTTATTTTTAAAAAGATAAAAATTTTTTGCGTCATCTAACAAAGTGGAGTAGAATGCTTTATTTTATTTTATTATTTTTTTAGTATGTATTTACAATTTTATTGTTATTAGGGTACCGTATTACAGCTACATCTGTTGTGAATGAGAGACATTCCTCTATTTATTGTCAATAGGCAGTCGCCTTCAAGGTATAAATTTCGGCATCTTCAGACACTTGAATTGAGTTTCTAGATGCACTATGAAGTAATTAAAGAGGGACGTAGTAAAAATAAATATTAACCAGTCGATGATCGTGTAGGAAAGGAGCGCTCATTTTTTATATGAAAGAGACTTGTTTAATTATTCTAATTAACCAAGGCGATATTTCATAAGTCTGTCATATTTAAGACGAATTTCCCCTTGAAACGCGAGTGTTTTGGTTTCGTCGCCAATCTGAGCAGAGCTCACCGAAGACGTACCTTTTGATAACCTCTTGACGCGTGCGAGCGTATTTGTATTTCTGGTGATTTGCAAAGCCAAATGACTTCTGACAAGACAAAAAATTGTAAGTTCGTTACCGGTAGGCAGCAACTGCGATTAGTAAAAGTGAAAAATATTTAAACTGCTATTTTTTTAATCAAGATAAGAAAATATTAATAAATGTCAGAAAAAAACAAATAAAAATAAAATACATTTTAAGTTATTGGTGTCAAAAGGGGCAATATAAAACTTCGTCAAAATATTTCATTTTGCGTATTTCAAGCATATACTCCGAAAGTAGTTAACTATATTCATTAGAAGAAAATGAGTAATTTCCGAAACATCCGATGTCTATTTGTAATATATTTCAGTCCCTTTCATGATTTTATTTCAATATTATGACTTCCTGGTAGTTACGACACTAAAACTAAAGTGCAATGATATGAAATACCAGTCTTCAGCCCTACTGCTTGACAAAGTTTTAGACGACTTAATAGCAATCACAATTTTTTGTAGAGCTAATACTTGTAAAACAATGAGATCTTGAATGGTTGGTTCGAAGCCCATATTTCCTCCCTTCTCACTTTGATTTGCAACCGTCGTGTATTACAAACTTGTTAAATGTTACAGATTAAGTAGTCTTAATGTAAGCTAGTCTCGTTGGAGATGATATATTTGGATACATACACATTTGTGAATCATTTTAATAAGAGGTGGAGTACAATCTGTTTCATCTGGCGAGACAGAAATATCTTTACCCCGTATTTGTTTTGCCACAAATACCGTTCTTTCGTTGCAATGACTCACGTTCTTAACAATTAGACCAGTAATTGTTAGACGCACACCTGAATGGCTGTGCTAGCAGACTGAAGCGCGGGATTTGGCAACAAAGAAACCATGTTTTTGCAGGACGGAGTGGATGGTGCTATTGCGAAATAGACGGGCGCTACCATAGTAGTACAATATTCTTTCGGATCTCAATTAGAAAATTAAAATTAGTGAACGATCTTACGAACCACATTATCTAGTACCGATTTCTTTCTGCCTCATTATTTGGCGCATTAATGTTAATTCTGGGCAGTGAAATATTTAAAATGTGACAAGTGCAAGAAGTAGTTGTATGCATGAAATCTTTAAGTTGGACCAATTACGAGAAAAAATAAAAGTTTGTACTTCTTTGGAATTTGGCTTTGACCGTTTTATTAGTTTTAGTCATCTTCTTGGGATAAGAAAAAATATTCATTACTTAAATATTACTGTGGCCAGATTTTGAGACTTGTGAGCTACATCTCAGAGTGATTTTTTTTTCAATATAAAATAAATGAATACTTTAACATTCAGCAGTACTTCATATCATTCCTCCATCTTTAACTCCTTACATTAGATACTTTAGCTACAAATATCAGTTGTATATTTTTTTACATTGCATTGCCAAGTGCACATAAGTTTCTAAACAACTAGATATGCTTTGATGAAACATTTATGAGGTACAGTAATATTTTGTTACAATGACTATGATTAAAAATATAAAAACAAGACCCACACGTAATATAAAATCTTTTAATAATTTCAATTCCTGAGTCATATAAAACCATTATAACTCATCCATATCCCAAGGAATCTTCTACTACACAACATTCATGTCCAGTTCCCCATCCTTAACAATAGCCCCAAAACCCATTCTCTGGCAATCTCAAATCAAATGCCTTAGCGAAGCCCTTTCTTAGAGACAGGTCCCATCACGTACATCGAGCCACCGTGGAAGATTTCTGGCAAAGGCCGTGTATCTACTCACCAACCACTACCTGTATTAAGAAAAACTTATAATAATTTACACCCGTTCTTCCTAGACGTACGTCCATCTCACCTCGGCCACACTCCATTGAAATTTCAATAAAATAGGTGGAAAACGCACAATCAGATCAAAATTTTGTACGACATTGATGCCTCTATAACAGGGGTTCCCAAACCTTGTTTTTACATCTGTCAGTAGCAAAACTTCCCACGTCCCCTTGCACATTTGTATTTGGTAATGTATAAAACAAATGTTACTTAAATTATTTTTTTGCTCTGTACAATTTTACAAGTTAATTATCGTTTTTTGAACTTGCTGAAATGTCAATTTTCTTTAGATTAGGCCAAGAAAACGAAAAACGATTTATGCCTAATTAATATTACAAGTTGACATTTAAATTAAACAGGGGTCAAGAAAAATCAATGAGAAGGATGAGCTTGTATTTTTTAACAGATTCACTATCCTTGGTTGAGTATCAGACAGTGCACAATAAAAATCATTAGCAATGACAAGTTATCCCGAATAGTTCCTTTTAATTGTAACAAGTGCGGAAAATGCTTGCTCGAACAAATTGCTCCATTCTACATAGCAAATAACACACAGAATGCTTGATGATGTTCATAAGCATGCAAATAAACCCATTAACATAACGTTTATTATGTTTTTTCCTCACAGCAACAAGGCAACTGACAAAATTTACATCTTCCGAGCGCGAAGTTGTTGGGACTGTTCGGGAATACCATGTCTTTTGGACCAGGAAGTTTTTTGTTTGACCTGTCTTAGATCACAAATTACGGTATCGTATTTAGATGTCATTTGGTTAGTATCAATTAAAATAAAATTGAACACACACACACAGAAAATATATATTATAAAACGAAACGTGAATGAAATGTATATTATAAACGAAAAATATTCTATATCTAAATTGAATCTGTCATAAAAATAAAACTAAATTTTAAATTCTGCTTTAATGAAAAACCCTTTAAAAGGAAACATTCAGTCGATTGGCGAATATATCTATTGAATTTCTCTCAGAAAAAAAGCCTGGTTGCACCACCATTCAAATTAATTTTACGTAGCTTTCCAGATTCTGACCGTGTCTGATCACTCATACTAGACACTGGTGGGAAGCACCTATACACTCGACATCAAGCATCCTCAGTGTGTTACCTATTGAGCCAGCTCTTTAAAAATCCCCAGAAAATGGATATTAATTAATAATGTAATTAATATTTTATAAATCATTTTGTAATTTAATAATAAGTTATTTTTCATATAAACATGTAGCAACGCAAAAGTATGCCCGACCGTAATCCCACAAACCCTCGGTATTGATCTCTTCATCTCCGTTCCTTGTTTCAATCTCTTTGTCAATCTCTATTACATTCTTCATCTTATGGCCCTATTTGCCCCCACTTTCGCGTCTCTGCACCCTGTTCAGTTCCATCTTCAGACGAAACTTAATTAATGTGAAATTGAGCTACCGTGCTATCGACAGTGTGAGAGTCTCATTGAATTTCCATCACGGGAAATAATTGACGGCTGCTGTCAGCTACAATGTTCGCGGCATTTCAATCGCTCGCCAGATAACAGAATCTGATTAAAAACAAGATTGAAGCGCGCCGAACTCGAAAGAGAGGAACGGAAAGGGGAAAGAGAGCGAAAACGATTTCTCTCTTAAGTATTTTCCTCGCGCCAGACGGCGGTCACATATTTCCTTCGTCTTTGTGGGTCGTTTGCGATCCTCGTCCTGCTCCCACGTTTCCTCGAAATTCGATAACCGCGGAAAGATTATTAAATTTATCGTTTCGCGGGCCGGTCGCACGCTGGAGCGGAGAGGTCTCCAGGAAGGAAGCAGAGGGGGGGGGGGGGCACTGAAGCCGCTCCACTAGCCGGCACTCTGCGGGGACGATCGACCGGGCGGCTGCTCGTTTCCCTTCCAATCTTGTTTCTCGAGTCGAGGCAGCTCGGTTGAGTGGCTGGGGCAGCGGTTCTCACACTCAAGGCAGGTTGGGATTCGAGCGCAGGGGGCACCTTGTTTTGAGGTATTTTGTCGTATTAAATGGAAAAAGACAATTACATAATTTACAAAAATGTTTAAAGTATATTAAAAATTGCCTTTACAGGATGTCTCAATAAATGTTACATTGGGCATGTAAGGAATCGAAAATGATTACTTTTTGTCAATGTATGTGTGTTGAGAAATTTCATATAACGAAGTTACACATGTGGAATTTGGCCCAATCTGTAGGCAAGTCTGCGGGTACTGGGGTTTAGCATGAATGTATCCTGTCGCAGTCAATGGAATTTCGTGAGCCTACTAAACGCCAGTGTAAAACGAGTTGCTTTCCGATCAGAAGTGTCACACGTGCGAATTCCTTATATTTCCAGCCACACATTCATTGGAAAAATGTGACCATCTTTGATCGTCCTACATGTCTTAAAAGTTTGTAACAATCATTCTGAGACAGCCTGTATTTAGTACTTCTAATGCAAAGAAGTACCTAAATTATACCAAAGATCCCCAATACCTACAATATGTCTCGATGTTTTTGCTTTTCAATCACAATTTTAATACATTTCTCTATACATTTACGTAAAGCTAATATTACGAAATATACTTGATAACTCTTTTCTACTGATAACCGTTGTTAGCTTATAGTATGGCTTCCATGTCGACACAGTAGCAGTCTATTCACTGAAAAGTTTGAGAACTAGAGATCGTTAAGAAAAATAATGGAAGTGTTTGGAAAAGTAGCGCCGCCGTGGCAAACAAGGGAGAATCGGCACAGCCTTCCGCTACACAAGAGAAATAAAGGTTGGTTAAATCATGATTTACGGGTGAGCTCTCTTATTCAAGCCATCTTTCCAGTGTTTTGCAAATTAAAAAACTTTTCCTCCGTGATTTTTCACGCTTCGAAATCTTTTCTTAAAAACAGCCAATTTCTTCCTTTTCTCAAAATTGTTGTTATGAAAGTGTAACAAAAGGCTTGGAATATCAGTCACGACTGCATGTTTACAATGTTTTGATGACCAAAATGATATATTTCATCATAAACACTTTATTGTATCTAAAGTAACGTAATATAAAATATTGAATAATCGTGAAGAATCTTGGATTAATGATGAAAAAAATTCAATAACTACAGAAGCCAAAACAAACTTTACACCGGACGTAAACAACAGTCAGATCATTTACATTTTTTATGGACTTCACTTCCTACCCTCTCGATAGGTGAACATTGAAGCACAGCGTGAAGCACTGTACGTATACGATAATTTATTTATTTATTTATTTACGTCAAAAACAGTTAAAAACTGTGTATGACGTGCTATGGGGAGACGTTAAATTGAAGTTACATCTACGATACGAACTCACTTTTACGATATAGTTACAGATACGAACTCACTTTTGAGTATCTACGCTTGCGGAACTGTTAACTTCACATAGAAGATTACCATACATTCTATTCAGAATTATTGTGTGTAATCACGTCAATCGTAACAGGTACTATACAAGACATGAGTACGATAAATGGAATTTGATCCCGAATTTGAGGGCAGAATGTGCTGTTAACTCTATATTCCCAGTTTAATGCCACATTTTATGTCCCGTTTTAATTCCATATTATTTTTATCCAAATGTTAATTTTTTGTTAATTGTTATGAAAAATCAAAAACCAAAAACTACAATATTGATTTAATTTCGAATGGAATATTATCTAAAGTTATCTAAATATTAAAACCGTGCTAAACATTATAACAACTGCAAGTATTTTCCTCTAAATTCACAATATTCTTGAACTTGTTGTTCATAAACAGAATTTTCTCGAATCTCGGGTTTTTGCGTAATACTCTTACTTGTTTTGTATGCAAAGCCTACTACGTAATTGGAAGGTATTGGCCATGACATTTTAAGAAAAATATTTTGGAAATAGTTTGCGGACGTTTTTTCATACTCACTGTAAATAACCATGTTACCGAGGACATTTCGCACCAGCCGGGAGAGTTAGGACAGCATAAATCGCTGCCCTGGCTCTCGACGTTGCATCAGATCGACCGGGCGGTTAAGCGGATATCGATAAACCGCTGCAAGGGGCTCACTAACGTGAATAAAATATGGCAGGCACGGGGATTTGAACTCCGTATCTTCCGACCACACGAAGGGGACGGGGCGGGTTGACCACCGAAGCAGCCCCCTCGCCTGACGAACGGGCGGTCGATATGAAATCCTCCGCAAGCCCCTCTTCATTACAAGGCCTTAGCGCCGGGACTCGCTTCGACCTCGGCCATGCCCCCCCAGCACCGCCATGGCGGCTGCAGCGGGGCTCGCCCTTCAAATCGGTCACGATTAAAAAAAAATTATTTTATAAACGCTTCGAAGAGATATGTTTTCATACTACATCCAATACTAAACTATCTACACTACTGTAACATAAAAAAAGACAGTTAAAACTAGTCTAATTCGGTCACTATTCGTTCCGGAGATGAAATAAGTACTGAAATAGAATACGACCAAATTAATATATGTAATTGCAAAATAATTTGTTTCAAAAGCTCAATGAAATATTACTACCACTATTACTACTGATTCAGAGAAAATGGACGTTATTGCTTTTGCCTGCTTAGTAGAGGTTATACGCAGGAATTTTTGTCAGTGAGAGAAAAAGGGGTGCGAGTATCGCTTAAAAATTTTAAAAATAATTAAAAGAAAGCTACCTATTAACACTGCATGGTACTCTTCACGCACGGTTTGCAACAAGCACGGTAGGCTTCACTTCTCAACATCTTTTTAATTACACTTAAAGCATAGCATGTACGAGTAGTAGACAGTGTGCTGGCTTCGGTGTTTTGCATGGGGCTAGAACACAATATTTACAGCACATATCAATCAACGCAATCGTTTAGTTTGCTTTCATGTAAATTTGTTGGTTTTTTTCTATTCAAAATCGTCATATTAAGGTATGACTGCATAAAAAAGGTATTCAACGAAATGTACCTAAAAGCTGGCCGTGGGGACAGATGACCGCTTAAAAGACGGAATGTTTCCCTATGCCTTGTGGAAAATTAATCGGTTCCGTGAAAAAACGGCCGTTAACGCAGTTGACCATTTGAAGGAGGTGACGCTTTGAGCAGGTTTCAATGTATTTTTAAAATTTTAAATGTTAAACATTTTAACCGTGCTTAACTTCACACACTTTTTTAAAAAAAAGTAGAATATGTACTTTATGAAGATTAATAATATTATCTTAAAGTTTAATTTGCAAAATGTTTACAGATTAAAAATACAAACAAAATTATGTGAGTTGGGAAAAGCGATAAGGCGTTACGTCGATTCCCCTCCCCCTAGTCCATCTATTCATTTTCTGGCTAATTAAACTTACAGGTACTGATGTCATACTAGGGCCCTGGCATGACCAAATTAGGATGCCCCGAATAATATTGAAATATTAATGGGAGAATGTGTCTGAATCCTGGAAGAAGATAAAAGGGATACAAGAAAATAAAACATACAATCGAATCACGATTATAAGGTAAGTGATGCAAATACGGCCAGTGCAGGCAATATGGCCCAGTAGTGGCAATGTTGTAAGCTGAAACTGTTTACCATAGATAGTACTAGCATGCTGTCTGGAAGAGTGTAAGACGTGTGTTAACTAACTAACCAGGCTAGTTGACTCGCGCATTCGCACTCGGGAGCCTCTATTGTCAAGAACGTACCGAAGGCGCTCTGTCCATATAACTTCTTTCCAGGTATAATTAGTGACACTTGGAGGATTTAGTATTTTGACAGTATACATCAAAGTTAAGCGCATTTAATGAACAATCTAATCAGATTATTGCCGTTAAATTTGCTCAATATTTTACCAACGTGGGGGAGATTTCGTAATATCGTAACATGTTTTTGCTGCCAATATGGCCAAGGGTGTAGAACTATTAAAGACAAAGTAACTTTCACTTGTTCTCAATGTCAAATTGATTCAACTTTTTTTTCTTAAGTTTCCAAATAATTACTGATGTTTTCAACTTGTGTAATAAAGTCTTATTGTAGAAAATACTGAATTTGTTGTGAGTAACCCAGCAAATCCTTGAGTTACTAAAACCATGTCACACAGTATTTTTGTAAAATTAGACTGTAAGAGGGTAATTGTTATAATATACTATTAGTACAGCTAGTCCTAATTGCATGGTCATGCTACAAGAAACATGTTAATCTGGCAATGGCCATAAAATCTGCATGTGGGCATATTACCTTCACAATAAAATGTTCTTGTGAAACAAAAACAAAATATTCCTGAATCACTTTTTTGTGATATAGCTACTGAAACTTGAAGCAAAAGTGTTAAATTTTATGATGATTCTCTTAATTTTTCCAAATGCTAAAATATCTAATCAGGAAAATTTGAGACGCTTAACGTGGCCATATTACCTTCACACATCTTACAAACTAACAATAAGTTTATTACTGATCCAGAGATAATGGCCAATACGTTTGTTGATACATTTGCCAAAAACTCTAGTGCACTCAACTATTTAAAAGAGTTTATTCATTGTCAGCAAACGTACCAACAAATGTATTGGTCAACAAACATATTGACAATTATCTCTGGATGAGTAATAAACTGTTGTTAAATAATTGCTAGTTTGTAAGATATGTGAAATTATGGCCACGTTAAGCATCTCAAATTTTCCTGGTCATATATTTCAACATTTGGCCAAATTAAGGGCATCATGATGAAATAGAACAATTCTGCTTATGCTAGCGTCGAAAATCCTGCCACCATCGGGACTCGAACCTAGTTCCTGCTGGCCGTCAAAAGGACTGCAGTAACATCGGTTGATGCCTCTTATCAGAGGGAGAGGGAACGGGTCTGCGAATGCGCTGGCCAGAATTCCCGCTCTCTGGGTCGCGAGTTCCTCGGCAGCAGTTGGTATCGGCAGGGATGAAGAGCTCGCGGGGCCGCGGCCGCGCAGAGATTGAAATCGTTCTATATCCCCATTGTGCGAGACGGTGCCCGACTCCTCCGCGCTGCGCCGACCTCTCGTATTTAAAGAAGTGAGGTTAGGCGGCATGAAAAGAAGTGCGTCGTATTGAGAGGTCCAAGTTTACGACTGAACTGCGCCAAATTCAAGCGCAAGTGAACGCTTCCTCTGGGAATGCTCACGTGATCAAGTGATAGATTTACACCTTTTGGAAAGTTTAAAAAGGAAGGGGAATTTCAGTCTGGTAAAATATACGTATTACTTAGCATTAAATAAGATAGTACGTGTACTCTCTTATTACATTTTCATTTTTGTTTCCGCAATATTTTAATTCACTGTGTATTTAACCATCGTTTGTAAGTTAATGTTCCAGTAACATCATTGTTTTATAAAATTTTATTACTTTACGAGAGAGTAAAAATCTCGCCAATGTAGATACACCGTGAAAAATTAAACAAAAAAGATTATACGATATTTAGTAATTATATTTTTAATGAAACCCTAATAAGAAGAAAAACGAAACGAAAAACACAACAAAAATGTAAATGAACAATTTACATACACGTGTTAAGACTTTACAATCGGCATCAAAATTTTCGCACTTAACTCTTATTATGATTAGCTTTATTGCGTTTTTTGTCTTCAAAACATTTCCTTTTGATAATACAGAGATATATTTCCTTATTAGAACTTCACTGGGTAGCTCAAATATTCAAAGACACAGCACGTAAAACTAATTAATAACCCTTCATATAAATATAATGTATTTTCTTATATATAAATTATTGAAAATATGGCAGTTAGCGACAAAAGATAATGACTTCACCTTTGAAAATAAGTATCAGGGAATTAGACTCTTGCATGTTGTAGTAATTGTTCGTCATAATGCAATTCTTTGCGGTACAGAATACGGCGATTAATTTTTTGTCGAATCTCCGAATATATTCATGCCTCAAATTGGTTATCTCATCGAGATCGACAAAAGTTAAAATTCTATGGCAACGAAAAATAACTGAAATCTGTTACCTTCTGTGGTGTTTCGGTGATGATATTATCAAGTTCCTCGACGACTGACGTAAGAGTGGGTACAATATATTTCTAAGTTTCTTAGAGCTAAGAAAACACGGTACTTGTTTGGAAAATAAATCAAGGAACACAAATTTTACTTCCGTGGTAATTCTAGTAACAAAGTACGCAACTTTAATCTAGTTCGAAATGAAATGTCACAATATAAACATATATGTATTAATCCATACATTAATGGGTTTAAATAATAGAGTAGCAACTGATCAAAATGCATTAACTCCATGGGACCTTATGACGAGAATGTGAAAACTCAAAATGTTAATCTTCGCTTCCAGGGGGCCATTCTCCTTGCGGAGCTCGCGGGCAGGTATGGCCCTAGTAAACATTAACGTTTGAGTAAACACCTTACTGTCCTAAGCTTTTATGGAGTTCACATTTTTTGCTCAGTTGCTCTACATTAGTGTGGTGTTTTAGAATTAACTTTCTCTTTTGCAGAAATAACCTGTCGTTGGACCGCAGAAGCTGAAAATTTGTGTCGTGTTATCACTTTATACCGGATCACAGCATGTCTGTAAGTTGGTTCTACCGAATATTATTGTTAATTGTCAGGACTTTTATGGTTGTAAAATATCCTAACGATCATTTCAGTTTTATGATAGATTGTTAACATTATTAAACAGCGAAATCCAGTAAAATGTTTATAAAAGATAACGCATGTAATACTCTCCATTCGTACTGCAGATTATCGGAATCAGGGACAGCCCTCTGAAGAACGTCCTTCTGAAAGTCATTGAATGTCCAATATGCGCCGACACGATGAGAAGTCCCATCGTGCTGTGTGAAAGTGGACACAGCATCTGCCAAAACTGCCGGGAGAAAGTGGAAGTATGCCCGATTTGCAAAGGAGAATATCCAGGAATACGAAACCGCCTGGCCGAAGACATCGCTACCCACATTGCTCTTCAGCGGTGCAAAAACGACAATAGGGGATGCCAGGAACTTGTCCCCACCAACGACCTCGACGGCCACGAAGCCGACTGCCCTTACAGACTTTACCTGTGCAGGATGTGCAAAGGGCGCGTAATATTTCACGAAATGAGTGACCACTTCGAGAAGCTGCACCCGGAGAACGTTATGAAAAACGGTGTTCCCAGGAGAGTAACAATCCGAGAGGTTCGGCCGGATTGCTCCTACACTTATCAAATCGATGCCTATGAGCGCCTCTTCTGGTTCTGGAGGAAAAACGCTGGGGATCTTGTGCATCTCGGAGTACAGTTGGTAGGAAACCCAAGGAATCATACTCATTTCTTTTATCGTCTAGAAATAACCTCTCCAGATCGAGAAACTCAAGTTGTTTTCAATGCCCCAGTGCACTCAGAAAACGAAAGAGGTCCTGCCTTGATAACGTCATCTAAATGTGCAGTCGTTTCAGCTGAACTGCTCGATCAGGGAGCTATTTACAGTGTTTTTATTTCGCAGTATGAGAATTTAGAACCTGTAGAAAATTCGGAATCCAATCTGTAAAACAAAAGGTTAAATTTTCGATTAAATTATAAAAGTAACAACTTAAAATAAAATTCTATTTATGACGTAACATTATTGTATGTATTACCGCTGTTTTTACTTTCTCGTGTACATAGGCTAATATATATATATATATATATATATATATATATATATATATATAGAGAGAGAGAGAGAGAGAGAGAGAGAGAGAGAGAGAGGGGGGAGAGGGAGAGAGAGTTAAGTAATGCTACAAAAATATACGTCGAGATTTTGACCGAAGTTTTGGGGATCTTTTGAGACCAAAAACGTTTTTTTTCTTTCTATATACAGTAGCGCCTAAACTCTATAATAACGTTTCTACAAAGTCGTGATTCTTCGGCAAGTATGTAACTACGATGAAAATGTCATGAGTTAATTTGTTTGCCGATGAAAATAATATTACTGTATGCGTATTGGCAGATAATACATACACATGGAATAGACAAAGTAACTAGTAATCAAGAATAAAGGCCATGGGGAGACCAAGAGCTCTGAAACAAGCATATGCATGCGTGAACCTGTCTGTCCGTCCGTGAAATACACGAACTCATAAAGTGAAGGTGTTCTTAATATTCTTTTTCAGAAATGCATATTTTCCTATTGATAAGGCCCAACTTGAAGTCCTGCGACTGGCAAAGGTGAGTCAAGGCATCAACTGATGGCACTGCAGATCCTCTTGAAAGGTCCTTTAAGGTTCGAGTCCGCACAGTGGAGGATTTTCAATACGAATACTAGCTAGAAGGCGAGAACGGATTCAGCCGCTGTCTGGAGGATAATTCTAGCGGTAGACAGCTCTGATCGGTTGTTTTCCTTAGTTTCTCCCGTCAACACCAGGCAAATGCCGGAGCAATACTCTACCGGACCACAAAGCGCGCTATCTTTCCTTCCTCTTCCTTATCCCGTGTCCCTCACCCCCCCCCACACACACACTAACATGCATTAGACTACTACACTTGTCAGGAGACCAAACGTAGCTTAGAGCTTGCCTCGGCTGGGGCGGTGCCACACTGGTGGGGGATCCCTGGTTGGGGAAAATCCTCGTAAGCCGACGTAGGTCGGCGCTGGATCTCTCTGTCCAGAGGGGGAAGATCACCGCCACCTCTCACGATACAAACATGCACGCACTAGGGAACTAATGACCTTGGCAGCTGATGAGCCCGAATTCACTAATCAATCAATTGAGGTACCGCAAACTTGACAATAACGCTTTAATAATATGAACTCTATGGTTTTAGTGTAGTCGCCCACTCAAACTTTCACGCAAATGAGAAAACAATTTGTTAATAAGACGCGAAAATATCTTTAAAATTATGCAGGGCACAGAAGTAATCGAGACCTAATTAGCGACGCAATGTCAATAACTCGACTAAAAATAGATCGTTGATTTTTTGGTCTTATTTTAAAGATCTACAAAAATGGCACAGACTTCCTCGTACTAGATAGTTCCGTCTTTTACCTTCTGGCTACCTTTCGCTACCTAGTTCTGTCTCGCTACCTTTTCGGTTTTGCCCTACCCCCTTCCCGACTGCCATTCATCTGCGCCTAAAGAATCTAAGTGGGGGCGCGCGCGTTAGCTACCAGTCTTCTAAAATCTGCAATGAAAACATCCTCTAATAAAGCCTTAGATAAAGCTTTTAGGTCCATCTCGCTTGCACTAGTATCATTGCCCTGGATGTATGGAACCAGAACAATTACGATTAGTCACTTGGCTCTCCGGGATACGCCCCGACCTAAATACAGTTGCCAACTTTTTCGGCCGTCATACTGCGCCCTTCCTAAGGGTGAAATGTCGGGAAGTCATTCTGTGTACTTCCTCACGCCAAAACGTTGGCCACTGTGTCTAGAACTTGGCGTCTCCCGGACAACCAAATAACTATTCACTCCGACCGCGGAAACAAGTACAATTACGCACGCAGATTCACACTTGTTACCAAGCCGGCGACTTAACCGAAGGTCATGTAAAATAATTATGACAATATGATAATACAATTATTCACTTTGTAGTTACTTAATCTACAGTTTTGTTATCCTCTGCAAATTTCCTATTTAAATGTTTGAAATAGCACACCATGTTTATTATCTTGTTTACACTACTAAAACTTCTTAAGAAAAAAAAAATTGTGGGTACATTCCCAGTAATGTGTTTTGAAACGCAGAATCTATTTATGTCAATGGCATTCAGCATCATTTGTTGCCATATCAATAATGTCCACAAAGTTTCTTTAGTTTTTAGCGTTCAACCTCACGCATTTAAGACAATTGCTTCTCAACATTAAATATCTTTAAAGAAAAAGTTGTAGAATACAATATTTACAGGTATTCTTAATTAAACAAATGATTTTGTTAGGACAAGCAAGCTGTTTATTTAATTATGTTTTAAATGTATTATAATTGCTGAACATAATTACAAGTTTAATGCAATTTTCAATGTGTTTTAATGTAATTCAAATGCAACCGACTGGTGTCGCGATGGGCTGAGATTTCTCGGAAGACTCATCACCTGTCGCGCCCGTGCTTAGGGCATTCCTGGAATACCGCCTACGGATCCAGCAAGCGTTGCACTGCGACGTTTCCGAGAATGACTCAATTTATTTCATACTTTAATCACATAAAACATATTAAATTTCTCGAACTGTGAATTCTTGAACAGTCTTGTAATTCGTTTCAATCCTAAGTAAAAATTACTCCAGTTTTAATGCATCAGTATTATATAAAGTCCGCTTTCATTGGCTGAGATTTCCGCGAGCGGTTGCTCAAGCCACACGACCAGTGTTGCCTTATCGGCGGAATTACCGCAGTTTTCAGCGGATTTTGAATACGGCGGGGAAAAAAAATATTTTTGCGGACAGCGGAATAAACGGCGGAAATTAATAAAGTTAGTAAAGCAGTAAAATTATTGAAAGCTATCAGTTTTCGTTAACCTTTATTAATTAATTGTTTTGCACAGATGTATATTTTTTAAATTTCTAAAATCCATGTTACCAGCAAGAATAAGTAATATAATACTTATAAATAAATTATATAATGCCTGAAAATCAATTATTATTTAGCACATTTCACCCAAGTAATGCATTTTATATTATCTAAAAATTGAATTGCAGGTTCAATTAAAGCCACTATATTTCGCAATCATTTTTAATAGAATAAATTAATACAACATTTAAAGATGAAAAAAGAATTTATTTTACGTTTAGCGGATTTAGGCGGGAAATTTAAAACCAGTTCAGCGGAATTTCGGCGGAAACTGAAACGAATTTGGCGGAATCCCTCTAAACACATCTGGCAACACTGCACGACACGACGCTCCAAATTCAGTTGCTTCTGAGCTCTCATTCGAGGCGGACTCCGCGTTCTGCATTCTCGCAATGATTTCTATTAATTACTAGTCAACTCCCTGTTCACCGACTCAATACGTGAGTATTACGTGGTGCTATTTCGTTTAATGGTGCAATTCATATAAACTTTCTGTAAACTCTTGATATCAAGTGATTAACTATCCATCCATTTCGATCGTGATGTGTTGTACATGTGCAACCAGTTGCTATGCTATCAGCAACAATTACTTGCAAACTGTGTAATTATTGCCGCGCCATGCTTGCCCTGCTAGCACATGACTTGGTAACTACCTACGTCGTTCAATAAGTTCATAGAAAATTCAAGATATAGCGCTCGTAGTATCGAAAATGATTTTTTACTAGTAAACAGCACTCCTAACTAGTCAACTGTTTGAGTTTCAGCTGTATTCTTCACATAGTTTTAATGCTGTTGACGATTGAAGTCAAAAACTATCATTTCTTTATAAAATGGATAAACGTGAGTTTCGAGCAGTGATTAAACATTTGTGTTTGAAAGGGTTAACGCCGTATGAAATCAAAGCTGAGTTGTATGAAGTTCATGGCACATCTGCTCAGGGACGGATCCAGCCGATCATTGAGGGGAGGGGATCGTACATTTTTATTCAATAATAAACATTTGTTATTATTGTATATTATTTATGAACTGTAGATATATTATTCAATATTATTGTTTAAATAATTACATAATTCAAACAAATAAATATTTAACTAAATGTTGCCAAATAAAGGTAAAGGAAAACTAGATGTAGGCCTTTTGAGGGAGCCATGGCCCCCATGCCCCCCTCCTGAATTCTTCAGTGCACCTGCTCCTTTATTTTCAACTGTAAACAATTGTGTGAATGAGTTTAAACGTGGTCGGACATCCACAATAGATGAACATCGTTCCGAACGCCATGCGAACGTGTCTACTCCCGAAATGCTTGACAAAATCCACGATAAGGTTTTAAGTGATTGAAGAATCAAAGTGCGGGAAAAAGTGGAGATCACAGGCATACCACAAGGCACAGTCGCTTCAATTTTGCACGAAGCATTGGGTGTGAAAAATCTCGGTAAGATGGGTGCCGCATTTGCTGTCAATGGAGAATAAACGCAGTCGTGCGATCGACTCGGAAGCTGTTTTGGCGCTTTTCCGTCGCAATCCGGAGGATTTTCTGCGTCGGTACTTCACTGCTGATGAAACACGGAGACATCATTACACTCCAGAGACAAATGAACGATCAAAACAGCGGATTTTTGAAGGCGATCAGGCTCCGAAGACGGTGAAATCGGTTGGTTGTTGGTTTACACTGTGTGGTCATATTTCGGATGACCTGGAAAATTTCTTAAGATCTCTATTTGTTGTTATATTCTTCCATTTCTTCGCTTTTTTCTTGAATAAAGTTTTCTTTATATTGTCTTGGTCTCAGCTGGAATACCCTATAGAGTTTTCTGACTTTCTGACGACTCATTTGCTTTCTTTGCAGAGAAATATGTTTGAAAATAAAGTAATATAAGAATTCCGTTGTACATAATAATAATAATAATAATAATAATAATAATAATAATAATAATAATAATAATAGACACGCGTTTGGAGTAAAAACCAAAGTATGTATACTATAGTATTGCTCATATCGTACTATA